GTCCCACAGTGCGACGGCCATCTGAGTCCGGCTGCCGGCGACAGTCCTTCTCGGGTTGGACCCGCTGGGGACTCGGGGAGCTCATGGACGGGAGTGCTTGGGGCTGGCCTCGTCCCCTGCGCCCTCCCGCCCAGGCTCTGTGTGTCCCAGGAGCCCTTTTCCTTTCTCTGTCCCTGGCTCGTGGCGTGGCCGGCACCAGCCCACAGCCTTGACCTTGTCAGTGTGGACCCAGCTGGGAGCCCCCGCAGGCCCCCCGAGGGCCTCCCTCAGCTCCATCCAGACTGGAGTGGGCCACCCTCCCTCGTTCCTGTCCCCATTCCCGCGTCCCTGCGGCCACACTCTCATCCGTGTCCTTCTGCTCCAGCCTCAGGCCCTTGGACATCGAGTTCATGAAGCGCCTGAGCAAAGTGGTCAACATCGTCCCGGTCATTGCCAAGGCCGACACGCTGACCCTGGAGGAGAGGGTCTACTTCAAACAGCGGGTGAGGCTCCACCTCGCCCGGCCCCCAGCCCCACAGTGGGAACAAGTCTGGTGGGGCTAGTCAGACACAACATGCCAGGTTTTTATTAGATGGGAGAGACGGTTCAGAAGGGATGGTCTTCACCAGGGGACAGCTGGCCACTTCCTTCTCCACTGCTGTCCCACTTTGGGCTGCTGTCTGAGTAGGAGGGGAACCCCGGCCCCCATAGGACCTCTGCCTCGGTGGGCATGAGTGAGGAGGGCCCTCAGTCTATCTCTAAAGCTCTGCCCTCCCCACGCGGGCCTCTGCCCACAAACCCACTCCAGGGAGTTTCCCAGCTTGCTTAGGGGAGGGTGGTCCCCTGGCAATGGGAGTGTCTGGAGGGAAGAGGAATGAGAGAGCGCCAAAAATTGCACATGGGTGTGAGTCTGTGTTCAGGGCAAAAAATGACAGCTGCCCACTAGGACGCTGTCAACTGAACGCCATCCGTGTCGGGTAATGCAAGGGGCAGGGACAGCTTAGCATAAGCAGGTGCACCCGTGCAGGTCGGGAGCTGCAGGGAGAGGGTTTTCAGACAGAGCTCAGGACGGGGAGGACTCGGCAAGCTTGAGCTATTTTCCTGGGGGTGTGATGTGCTGGAAGGGGAGGACAGGGAGATTCCCGGGACAGTGGCCTGGGCCCTTGGGCAGCTGCAGGGCTCTCCCGGCAGGCAGGTCTGCGGCTGCCCCTCCTCCGTTCGGGAGACAGAAACACTGCAGAGTATCCGGGCAAGAGCCCACCCTTAACCCCAAGCCTGGGGCCACTCACTTTATGGAGGCCCTGGCATGGGCACATCCTCGTGGGCCGGTGCAGCTTGCTGTGTGGATGGTGCCCACATCTCTCCCCTCCGGACCCCCAGATCACCGCGGACCTGCTGTCCAATGGCATCGACGTGTACCCCCAGAAGGAGTTTGATGAGGACTCGGAGGACCGGATGGTGAACGAGAAATTCCGAGTAAGTGAACCGGCCAAGATGCTATCCCCAGAGGCCCCTAGGTCCCTGCTCAAGGACGTGGGTGGAGATCTTCCTGTCCTATCCGGGGGTTCTGGGGAAACGGGTGAGATGGCCTTGAGCCATGAGAATGTACTCTCTGGGCTGGGAGGGGTCAGAGCCAGAGTGTCCGTAGGTGGCCCTCAGGGCTGGGGCCCCTGACTCCTCCCAGGGGCCCAGGGAGTGGGCTGGCCTTTGCACAAACACGTGACCCATGCCACCTGCCCCTCCCCCAGGAGATGATCCCATTCGCCGTGGTGGGCAGTGACCACGAGTACCAAGTGAATGGGAAGAGGATCCTGGGAAGGAAAACCAAATGGGGCACCATCGAAGGTAATCACCGAGCTGGAGCCTGGGGCCCCCAGACGGGCCAGGAAAATAGCCGCTCCTGCTGGCTGAGAGCCGCACGCCGAGGCCTGAGCTGGCGCTCTCGGGACCTCCTCCGGTGCATTGCCCACCCAGCCACGGGGAGGAGTCCCAGGGTTCCCACTCCATGGGGGTGAAATGAAGGGCCAAGTGGCTTGTCCGGGACCCTTAGCCATTAGCCAGCGGAGCTGTGCCTCCACTCCGATCTCCTGTGGGCAGGGAAATATCCCGTGGCGGAGAGAGTAGGATGGGCACTGCCGGGTTCTAGGTTCCGGTGCTGGGGTTTCACAGCCATGCTGTGTGACCCTGGACAAGTCACCCCACCTCTCTGAGCCTAGGAAAGGACTGGGCTGTAGCTCTGTCCAGCTGAGAACTGGATACCCTCAACAGAAGTTCCCAGGACCCCCGCATCTGAGGGTCGCGAGACTGCTGTAACAAACCAGCACGGACTGGGTGGTTTAGAACAATTTATTCTCCCAGTTCTGGGGGGTCCCGCGGGAGACTGTTCCCTGCTGCCTCCTGGTGGCTGCCTGTGTCCTTGGTGCCCCTTGGCTTGTAGACACACTGCTCTGTCTTCACTCCACGTGCCTGTGCCTTTCCCTATTAGAGCACTTGTCCTGGGCCTTCGGGCCCTCCCCCAACCCAGGATGGTCCCCTCTGGAGATCTTACCTTAATTCCACCTTCAAAGACTTTCCAAACAAGGCCCCGTTCGCAAGGACCCAGGGTTAGAAGTTGGATTAGTCTGGGGGACACCGTCCAACCCTCTGCAGGTGGCCACGACCCCCTGGGCGGGTAGACCTGGCCGTTTCTGTATCCTCCTGTCTGTCCCTCCCTCCCTCTGTGGAACAGAGGGGAATGGGCCCCTTGGTTGAAAGGCCCAGCATAGAGAAGGAGGCAGGAAATCCAGCAGTCCCTGTCAACTCCAGCTGCTGCCACCTCGTCCCACGTCCAGGTTGTCGTGACCTTGGGCATGTCCCTGTGACCTTGAGGATGCCCCTTAATCCCCCAGGGCCTCCGTTTTCACCATCCATGAAGTGGTTACTGTGGCCAAGAGTTTAGTAAAATGAGAGAATGTCTCAAAGGCCACTGGTGCTTTTGGGGCGGCAGATCCTCTAAGAAACCGATACAGTGAAAACTGCCAGGCACCAAGCACCCAGGGCGGCTCATTGTAGGGGGGCTCCTGTTACTTCTCTGTCCCACCCCGGTGACTGTTCTGGATCAGGCTTCACCCCTGGGCTCGTCCGCCTTGGCCCCGCCTCCTCCGTTTCCTGTCTTCCCAAAATCTTGCTTTTGAGGAACCTTTTTATGAAGGCGTGTTTTGGAGGGTTGGAGAACTTTGGGTGAAGAAAGGGCTCAGTGGGGACCTGGGAGGGGTGGGGGAGGGTAGCCAGGCAGCTGACACGCCTCTGCTGCCCCCTGGTGGCTAACTCGGGCTCTGCAGACAGTCCGTAAAGGAAATTGTTGAGAAACGAAGAGAGGCTGTTTTCCTGTCTCCCTCTCATCTTGTGGCCCAGATCCTGCGCCCTGAATGACGGGCTGTCTTGGCTGGGCTACTGTGCCACCTCCCTGCTAGAACAGAACCCCCTGGGCAGGAGGGCAGGAGCCGGGGTGCTCCGTGCTCCCCTTTGGGCAGTGACCCCCCCTTTCCCTGCCCAGCATTGGCAGGGGAAGGGCAGGATCTGCACGACATTAAAGCCTCTCCTGTCTCCCCTCCTCAGTTGAGAACACCACACACTGTGAGTTTGCTTACCTGCGGGACCTCCTCATCAGGTGAGATACAGCTGGGGCTTGGTGGGGGGCCGACGGCTTGGCGGGGGGGTCTCCATCGGGGTGAGAGGACGGAGGTCCTGGGCAGCGGCCTGCCTGCCCTGCCCTCTGTCTTCCTCCCCAGGAGGGCTCGGAGGACCATTTTCTAAAACACTTCCTTGGAAATGAAGCAAGAATTGAAAATCCCTTTAACTTCTCGTTGAGGAGGGTTGAGTTCTCATCACAGCAGCCCAAGCCCGTGGGACTCAGGGCCCCAGGAGGTCTCCTGTGCTGGGCGTGTGTCGGGGGCAGGGGGGATGTTCCCCGGCTCCCATCCCAGCGGCCTCTGGCCTCCTCAGTTTTCTTGAGCCCAGGCAAGGAGTGGCCCATCCTCAGCCCATTGGAGAGGGTGTCGGGGTGGGGGGCAGGGCAGGTGGACGGAGGAGGGGGCTCCCAGCTTCTCAGCCTACAGGATGGATGCTAGGGACGAAGTCAGCAGGAGGGGCTGGGCCGTTTCGCACGGCCTCCACGCTGGGGTGTGTGGCTTCCAAGAGCATCCCCACTATGCTGAGAGGCTGGCTGAGGAAGGACGCCCACCATGGGCCCTTCCGGCACCCCCTTCCAAACCTCCCCTGGCGGGCCGCGGGGAAGGGAGGCTTGGACACAGGGCTGGCAGGGGTTCCCAGCACCCTCCCCCAGGCCGCCTGCCTGCTGCAAGCCACTGCCCCTTACCTGCCAGCGCACCTGGCCGTCGGCCTGGCATTTCTAGAATAGAGCAAGGACAGCCCAGCCCTGCCATGCCAGGGGCCTCGGCTCTACCCGCTCTTGAGTCTGCACCCAGCCCCTGTCCCCGGACTGGCCGCTAGGTTGACACAGAGGAAGGGGACATGTTAGAACACATGATCCTGAGAGCATCTGGGGTTGCCATGGAGATCCCTAGTCACACCTCTGCCCAGGCCTGGTCCATCTTTGTGGGGCCAAAGTGCCCCACTGGGGGACCCCCTGGGGGTGGGGGGCAGGTGGAGCGAGCAGGGCCAGCCTCCCACCCCCAGCCCGGCCCTCCTCATGACTCCCCGTGCCTCCCCAGGACGCACATGCAGAACATCAAGGACATCACCAGCAGCATCCACTTCGAGGCCTACCGCGTGAAGCGCCTGCACGAGGGCAGTGGCGCCGTGGCCAACGGCGTCCAGGACAAGGCGCCCGAAGCCCAGGAGGTGTAGGCGCCGCCTGGCCGGGACCCTGCCCCCGGGACCCTGCCCCGAGTCTTTCCGTCCCTCACCGCCCCACTTGCCCCATTTTATTTTATATAATTTTCTCCATGTGTCATCGATCTCTGCCCCTTTACACCTGCCAAGTAACAAGATGACGAGTGCCCTCTGAGTATGTTCGTGATTAGCCCGCAGACTACAGGGACCCGGGCTGGGAGCGCCTCGGAGTGGAGGCCGGCTCTCTGGCCATTGCTGAGGTCCAGGAGGGGCGGGGGGGACCACTGACTCAGTCCTGACCCTGCCTCCATCTCGGGGTGGTGCCCGCGGTGGGTGGAACCATCCTGGTGGACCTGGAGCCTCTTCCTGCCCCTGCCTCCCCACCCAGCGCTGGCCGTGACTCAGAGCCCCCTACCCGGCCCCCAAGGGGGGAGCAGTTCCTTCCACGAGACCCAGTTTGCCAACTGCTTAGATGCCGCAGGGCCCGTTGGCTGCTGCCCGCCCGCAAGCCTGTCCCGGAGCAGAAAGTGCCTTTATCTCAGCCGTCCGTGAGAGCCGGCAGACTCTCCCCAGCTGTCCCCCTGGACGGGAAGTTGGGGCACGTTGGAGAGAGGAAGGTGTGTCTTCATCTGCCCCTCATGTCCCGGGTCCCCGCCGCCCTCCCCTCCTCCCCCTGCTGGGATTTGACTGAGGAGCCAAAGGAAGGAAGCAGATGC